TTTATTTCCAGCAGTCCCTGTGTGACTTAACCTGCAGTGGATCATCTTTGAAACCAACAGGCTTTCCTCTATTCCCAAGTCAGCCAGAGCCTAAGGTTAAGTACAAGTCTATCAGTGTCTGAGAGACGACCCCCTAAACCAACGCTGTGTTTACTGCAGAGAGAGAAAAGCCTATTAATAAATCTGTTGCAGACAGCCTGGCGGAAGTAGCCTGAGGGCTGTAAACTTAGTCTGGGACAGAAGGATGGATGAAGGGTAAAACAGAAAGGGATGGATGGACAGAGTGCGAGAGAGCAAAGGAGATGACGAAGGAGAGAAGAAAAGAGAGGAAGGAAAGAAATTAAGATACATGGAAATGGAGAAAGGAGGGAGGGAGGGTAAAGACTGCGTAGGGAGGCGGGGAGGGAGGGTAAAGGGTGTGTGTGTGTGTGTGTTGTGTGGTGTAAACCATGGGTGCTGGTTGATGGATGGATCTAGGTTCTGAAAAGCCACAGCTGCCCCGCTCTTCCTAGAAAAAGATCCACAAGGAAAAGTGGCAGTATGCGGTTCAAGCATCTAGCATCCTCTTACTATTTCTGACCGGCATACTGCAGGACCCGTCAGAATGTGTGCTGGTCCAGAAAGCCTCTGCGATAGTGTGAGTGAATGAGCGCATGTGTGCTTGTATTATTAACTTTGAGCCTATGCATTATAAAAATGAAAACGTGAAGGTTCTTTTTTTACTTTAATTAGCCTTGTAAATATCTGTGTGTATGTGAATGCGTGTGTGTGTGTGTGTGTGTGTGTGTGTGTGTGTGTGTGTGTGCTGCACTGCACATTCGAATGTCTGTTTCCAATCAGTCTATTACACAGCAAAGCATCATTCTTCTCTCTGTCACGGCTGCCAACTAAACGTAGTAAATGTGTATTGGGCTGTATTTACTATAAATAAGGTAAAAGCGGTATGAGGTTTTTTGCATGTTTTTGCACCCAGTAGAACTTATTACAAATAAAAACCCTGTTACTTTAATATGAAAGACTGATATGAAAATAAGTGCACTTCATGTATCAAGTACAGGGACCAACTATCATGTAAAAGATGGAAAGAAAAACTTTGTTGCCTTTAATCTCCCCTCTGTACAGTTTGAGTACTTCAAGGAATGTTTGCTTAACACTGTGGCCATAAGTGGTAATTACGAGTTGCAGTTCATTTAAAAATGTATCAGTAGCACAAGTATAGGAGAGTCATTACTGACAGAAACAATCGCCACCCTCATGCTATGTTTTTACTGAGCCTTTAACCTCACCTGACAGCTAAGCAAAATCCACCCGTTGATGAATACCATGAGATGCAGGTCAAACAGCTAGTACTGTAGCAACAGAACTAGTAATGAATCTTCACTCATGGAAATCGTATTGTGGTTCAATAGCCCTGCTGTAAATGGGAAAGACAAATCACTAAGGTAATGCTCATTTTTGCACTTGGGTAATGCTTGTGAGATTCTGAAACATCCTCACCACTCAGCTGAGCACGAGATATGCAGGGATGGATATCTGACCCGCACCATGAGCTGTTTTTTTTTTTTTTTATCTCTCTCCATATTTTTTGTTCATATCTTTCTTCTTCTTCTGGCTTACTTCTCTGACACTTCAAAACTTTTCATTCCCGACATACAGTATATCCAGCATCTCTCTCCTCCTCTCCAGCCAGCCCTCTCTCAAAGTGACCAGCAGCTCCTGTGTGAAACCTCATGTATCACAAATAAATAGATCTTTCCCTGCTTGTCCAGTGGCACTGAACACACCATGCTTGTAAACACATGCACATGTGACTACATAAGCGCACACACACGCACACACACAAACACCATATCTCAGGCTCTCAGCTTGCCCTATTTTTTCTCCCGCTGTCCTGAGAAAATAACAAATAGCACAATCTTATTGCAGCCCTTCAGCAAAAAACATCCATTCTAGCATGAACCCAATGTCCGTTGTTCCCTCACCCATCTCCTTTGCACCCCCACCCTCCCACCGCATCCCATCCTTGCCTCTAGAAGGTGAAGAAGTACAAAGAAAGGGATCAGAGCTTTTCCGATTCTTCCCTGGTTATTAACTACCATTTGTCCCCTCAGAGGGCTGTCCCTCCCATTAACCCAACTGATGCTCTTTTCTCATGGAAATCAGCCTGCTGTTGCTGCTGCCGCCGCCGTCTCTGCTGCCACTACCACCGCTGCCCGCTGCCCGCAGAGGTGCAAGGAATTGTGGGGGATTTTCAGAGGAGAAGACCTCCCTCCAGCTCAAAAACAACTCCTTCTCTCTTCTCTCTCTCTCTCTCTCTCCCTCTCTCTCTCTCTCTGTGCTCACACCCTGAGTTCAGGCGCGCACACACACACACACACACACACACACACACACATGCACGAGCACATCTACCATCTCAAAAACAGGCATGTGTGCGAGCTCTCACACATTCACTCAGTCACAAAGGCAAACATGAAACGTGCTGCCTCCAACCACAGGGGCATGGAAGTAATGTAAGGCAATGCATGGGAGTTAATGAGAAGAAGCTGGCTCCATCGACCCTGCAGAAAATATTGTGGAGAGCAGAGCAGCTAGAATGCTTCAACACCAGAATAACTGGAATTGTCCGGAGTTTATGGCTCTGAAAAAAATATTTTGAAGTAGGAGGGGCCGCTAACAGATAAAAAAAAAGTTTGCAAGCTGATTCCAGGACTGTTTAGCACTTGCTTACAACATTTTTGTTCAAATGTTGTTAATTAGCTCATATATTTATTGTTTAATATTTGAAATGTTCTTTAATGGTATTTTTCAAAACTTAGGAAAACATGTGGATATGGATTTATGTTCAGACAGTTCACAAATTCACCTCTGATCTTCGATAGAACTATTATAAATCCAATTACACAGGCTACATACATCTGTCACAGCATCTAAAACAGGTGCACCAGAACACCAACCACCTCACTTAATGTTGTAGCTGTGTCTCTGCTAAAGCCCATGGAGCAGATCTATAGCCAACAAGCTTGTTACAGTGACATCAACACATGGGTCTCAACTTGCTGGCAGCAACAAAGGCATTGTCTCGTGACAAACTTGCTTCCATTTCCTTATTATGTAGCTGGAGGCCTTGATGGAACATGCTTGTCTCAGACCTGCTGCAGCGCTGAAGTGGAGGGAAACCCCCACCTCAACTTATTTCACCAGACTATTGATCTGCAACTTTGACATTAATCTTTTTGAGGTAGCGAGACACTTTTAAGGCTTTCAGCCCTGTATGTATTCATGCATTTCATTAATGTTGCAGCCTCATTATAATTTACCTCCTTTTTATTTACCACTAAATTGCCACTTTTTAAGATAGATAATTACAGTAAATCATTGTGTCTTTATAGAGCATGTATGTCATTCAAACTAGGCAAAGAACTTCATTTTTTTTAATATTCTGCACTTACTGTCTCACATTAACACAGTTAAACTGTTAATGGAACAAAAAGTCATGTCAATGTTGGATGTCCTCTTGCAGGAGGATATTTGTGCCATGAGAAACCTATTAGTCCAGTAGGTGGAATCTATAGCTTATTTTGGTCTGTTGATTGGAGAAAACATGCTATTTGAAGACATTAACCTGGCCTTAAGGCAATGAAAACAGCTTTGACATTTCGCAGACAATTCGAATCCAGAAAATAATCATCAGATTAATCGTTAATGAAATCATCATCACTTGCGGCCCTAGTGAAATCTCCCGTATTTGGCTGTGGAGAACTACATACAGTACATGTGTAACTCCTTTACAACCACAGGATGTCCACTTATAGACTTAGAGCTTATAGCTGATGTAATGAGAACACCTTAACATTATGACGTGCTTTCTAGGTGCGAGCTCACATGTTCACAAGGAAAGGAAACAACAGAAATCTTGTGATACATGACGTTCACCGCAGTGACAATAACAAATCGATGATAAATATCCCAGGATTCACAGTGAAAGCATGCACAAATAGCACAATGCAATAAGCTGATTGTAAACTCATTATCAGTCCCTACAGCTGCAGAATATTAGTTAGGCCAACCTTTTGTTACTTGAACAGTAGTTTTTGTGTATTTCAACACTCCTGGTTGACATATAAATGTGTCAAAAGTAGCAGCCTGCAGCCAAGTCAGCTATCAATAACAAGTGCATAAACTGTTCCCCCACATTCTGACCCCAACCCCCCCTTTAGTAGGGTCTTGGTTGTTATTTACCCGCTTCCAAGGAAAAGCACACACTCTCTCACACTGACACACATGCAGGCAGGAGACACAAAACATCCGATCAGCGACAAACATGACATAAGCCATGTAGCCTACAGTAGATAACTAGGCTATATCAAGGGGCCAACAACGACTTCAAGGTTGTAGAGGATTCCTGAATACCAGGTAGAAAACTCCTGATTTAAAGAATGTAACAGTATGCACACACAGAAAACAGGCTTCCACATTACAGCAACTTTTTTTCTCCTCTCGCAAACTAACACACACCACGGGACGTTCCCTGCGTCTCGCTCTCCTCTGCAGTGGCATGCCACACTTGATAAGTATTCGGAAATTGCTTAAAACTCACCAGATCACCGAAAACTTGCAAAGAACATCAAACGTCTACAACGACGGGCCGCAGGACAAAGTGCACCGTGTTTAACAACTTCACAGATTCGCATTTGCAACATATTTATCGACCAAAGGAAAGACTCGAGAGGCAGAGCAGGCGATCGCGTAATTAGAAATTAAATACCCAGATCCTTCCACGCTGCCGCAAAAATAAGCAAAATCACGCAAAAGTCCGATTACGCGAAAGTAACACCACATTTATTTAAAAAAAAAATCAAGTGTCGCGCACGTCGATGTGTCTGTCAGCGTGAGTTGATAAAAGCTGTAAAGTTGTTTAAAAGGCACACTTGCACACATCAGGACGTGCAGCCACATTATGAAGCCTTACTGGGGGAAAAAACGAGCAGTTTACTCACCAAAAAGTTTCCAGCACCGCATTAGTCAATTTCACACGGAGCCCCGGTAACCTTCCATCCCGGACCGGACCAGAAAACCACCGTGGGAGAGCCCACGCCGCCGCTCCCCGCTCCTTTCTCCCCTCGATGTGTTGTTTTAATATTTTTTCCGATTTTTTTCCAATAATTTTTCTATATTCGGGGCCTGAGAGTGCGTCTGGCTCCCCTCAGGCTGCAGCGGAGTTATGGGGCGGTAAGCATTGTGGGAGTGTGACGTCAGGCCACTTTCACAAACTTTTTTTTTTTTCAACCAGCGGCAGCTTACTGGTTTTTCAGCAGCCCTGCAGCCAGTCCTCCCAGTCAACAGCAATTGATTCAGTTATTACACAGCAGCGCAGCTTATACATTCTCTATATTGGGCTTATAACAAAACATTTATATTTTTAAAAATAATTGAAAAAACTCATAATCTCCTGTAACGGAGCCCAGGTTTGACATATGACTAATTATCATCTAATATTTGGATGAATGTCATATTGTTGCCTACAGTTAAAGTTTAACACCATCTACTATTTAAAAATATTGAAAAGTTACAAATAACTGTTAAGGATTAGTGCAGTTCTTAAATATTTCCTAAAAGTTTTAAAAACCCAAGGACTGCTTTAGTTGATCATTTGGGACTTATTTGGTTTATTAGGCTTTGTATTGGCACCCCTTGTCTCTGAAACCAACAGGCTATGCATCATTTTCAGTCATCACATGATCTCATGTTAGCTTCTACATGAACAAAGAATTTTCTTTTTTTTCAATATAAGTATATTTTTTTTAATTATTTTTTTTAGCTTCTTACCGCCCATTTTGAATGAAACTGCACAAAAGTAAAGTGTACTTAAATCAGGAATGAGTGCTTTCCAATGAATGATTGCGAGTCATCTCAACTTTACAGACTTTGCAGAAAACAGAAAAGTGTGATAATATCAACAAAATAGGCTACATATCTTTTATCACCATAAGTGAAAAGTTTTCTTAAATTTATTTTGGTTAGGCTACGTTAACATTGCTCTTGTGCCCATTAATCTAAAAGAAGTGGGGGGAGGGGGAATAAACTAATGTCAATCGTTAAATTATAAAAAAAAAAAAAAAAAAAAAAACAGGTCTAAAAAAACAGGTCACACAACATAGAACATACTTGAATCAGGCATTCTGCAATTTCATATTTCTTTTTTTTTTTCCTGTTAAAGAGTCAACAAGTGACAACATGGTGGAAGAAAACAAGCCCATCAGCAGGAATGGGTTTGTCCCGGGTCCCCACGTGTTAAAGGCTACCGGTTGTGCTGGTGGTGGTCCCGTTTCTCCCACCTTGTGTTTTTTTGGGAGGGTGAAAGAATTACTTCCAGGGCACATCAACTCGTTTCCTCATCACCCTAACCCCCCACCGCCTCCTCCCAGCCCCTCCACGGGCTTCCACCAGCCCCACCAAGCCCGCAGGGTAAATGTGTTTGTGCAGAGAGAGTGAGTATGGGGGGTGGGGGAGCTCGAGTCTTCAATAATGCTGCTTTCAAGTGCTGGCCGTCTGCTCATTTATTGTATTTATAGAAAAATACTTTTGTCTGTGTATTTAAGTAGCCTTCAATTGAATATAACAGTTCAATGAACACTAACAAAAGCTTGTTGATTTATTTTACAAATGATCTGAAACATGTCTGAAGGCCTGCTTTATGTTGGAGTGCCGGTATGCTACTCGATATTTTAATTAAATTATTAATTTAATTAATTAAATGATTAAAAATGGCTACTTTAGCGGCTGTATGATCAATAAATAAAAAAACTACAGCATCATAGAGAACTCCAGCTGTATTTATTCATATTTTGTTTGGCAATCAGTCGCTCCCCGACAATTCCGACATTTCCGACCGAACATGAAAGCATCAAAAGCCTTTTGGCATGGTCAATACAGAGGAGCGGGGTAGAAAATGCCAGTTGTGCAGGGGAAACAAACCTACAATGGGCTTACCTGTTGCTGCAGTGGTGAAAAAAAGTTTGTAGAAATGAAGAGGAGGTTTTATTTTCAAGTGTTGCAAAAGTGCAGATGAAAGCGCGAAGAGACGCAACATCTTCCAGAGGTCGGACTTTTATCTGAGGGGTAGGCTACTGTGAAGTCACAGTCCCGTTAAATACAAAATAAGTGGGAGAAAAACGGGACTACTTTCAAACTTTATTTAGTCGAGTGCTGGAGATGTTTAGGTAGGTATTTAAGCGACATAAATTCAGAACATGTCCACGTTAAGACCACGATGTTGTTTAGTTTTAGGCTTAAAAAAGTCAATTACGTTTTTGTCTTCAAGCAAGCATTTATTTTTTTTAAAGCAGCCCACGCCAAAAAATAATAATAACTGAACATTTAACTAAAAGAAGTTTAAAAAAGGCAATTAGGCAGGGTTTTCTCCACAATGGATGAAATGTTTTCTCATAAACATTGTTTTATAAAAAATGTATTAATAAAACATGGTGGCTTATTCAAATAAATCAGATGTTTATATGTAAAGTAAACATTAAAGGCAAATTCTTAAGGTTGTGAATCATTCATTATTCATGCATTATTAAGACAATGAAATAATTGTTAAGAATATAATATTTAAACTAATAAAGTTCAGATTAAATAATAGGCACATGTTAGAATGTTAAAATCATTTCAGTATGATGCTATTTTCAAAAAAGAATCAATCATTACACATTCTAATAAATTACATCCAAATATGAGGCTTTAAACATTACATGAACACACTCTAGAACAGGAAAGACTCAAATATTTGATCAAGTGCAATCATTTCATTTGTTGTAGAATTAGGGTTAAACTTTTATACACTTATTACACATGATTCTTGGTAAAGTCTCTCTTATTATCCAACAATCCCTGAAAACTAAGTATATTTAAACTCTTACAGGCTTGACATTATAAACTAGCTGTAAAGGAAATGAACAATTTTAAAGTGTCCAAATCTTACAAAACCAAAGACTGTGTGTTAAATGAAGACATTTAGAGAATGTCCAAAGAAGGAGATGAAGGCAGTTACCTGATACACTTTGGTTAGGTTTGGGTTTTGTCCATATGGCCATGTGGTACAGGAAGTAAGTTGTACATAAGGTTTTATATCAGCCTGATGAGAAAATTGAAAAAGAATCCACTCTGTTCAGTTTTGGTCTGTTACAGCCTGATATTGCATTATTAGTGTCATTAACAGAGTTATACAAATGCCATTGAAATGATCTGTGGTGATAAGAATGGTTTTAATGTTATGTTAAGAATGGAAAAAATATGTTTTACTAGGAAATCCTCCCTCTTTAGATTGGCTGTCTGATGCAGTAGTTTGGGGTTTTTTTTTCTCTTGCAGCTTTTCATGTGAGGATGCTGTAAAACAAACAAAAACTGGACAAGAATAGATGATAGAGAAACAGAAGGTTAAAGATGGATGAGGTGAAGCGATTTCCCAGCATGAAGAGGGAGACTTCTTTCATTATGCCATTGTTTGTTTATTTGGATTACAGTGTGGTTGGTTCAACCGCAGTCAGGTTGATTGCAGTTGCGTGGTGGTCTGTTATTTAGAGCTGTGGAGTGATTTTTAACTATCTTATGAAACGCCACATCATGCCGTGGCACTGGCTTCCTCTGATTCCTCTCTGTTGGTCTCTCTCATCTCTCCAGACCGTCTAGGAAACCTCTCACATGCAGAACCGCCCTGTAAGCAGGGGCAGCCTCCAGATCAGCCTCTCCCCTGCATGTCTCTGGCTACCACACACCTAATCAGTCCTGATTAGATGCACTGTAAGAGACGAGGAAGCCAGCCTTTCAGAAGTTATGATGACAGAAGAAAGCGATGGGCTCCCTTAAATAAAACCTTCATGAGCAGAAACATCTGTGTCTGTTTATAGCGTCTGTATAACAGTAGTCAGATCTCCAACTGTTCCTCTGGTGTCATCCCAATTTACCTCTTTTTCTTTTAACATGCCTTACTTCGCAGCTCTTGTTATAATCACACACACGCAAGCTTCCAAACAAATACACACACATGCACTTATCAATTATTGGCGAGCACTCTCAGCCCCATCCACACAAACCTAAGTCCAAAATCTAATCCAAAATCAGCATCAGTGAACACAACAGCAATTAGTAAGGGGGACAATTTGTTCACATCTGGAGTGTATTTCCTTGCCACCAGAATACCCAGCAATCACTTCTTTCAGGGTCCTGGTGTGGTGGGAAATGACTATGTGTTTTTTATGTGTTTTGTTTAAAACAGATGGGCGGTTTACATTAGCGGAGATGGGCGATAAACAGCTTAGAAAGGATGGGGGAAACCGCCGGGACACAAAGAGAGAGACACCGCCGTCACTGCACAGACATGGCACTGACGCCTTTTGTGAACATCCATTATTTTCTCACTCAGTTTTGTTTTGGCCAGAATTTCTTCAATTACAGTTGTGTTATTCTAGTATGTTATAATGACCCCGGGTCTCAGTGTGAGATTAAATGTATCCTCCTTGGTTCATGGGCTGAAAAGGTTTAAGAATCTCAGGCTGTAATTATTTTCCAGCTTCTTTGTAGTTTGGTTTTTGTTCATTTTCCAGCATAATTCAACCATAAATGTCCAGAGAAACAGCTAACATCCAGCTAACATCCAAGTATGTGAGGTGTGACTGAAATACACCTCTCACACCCTAAAAGTCAATGTGATTATTGCTCAAAACACAAATGTTACACAACATGCAAATACCTGCCAAGATGAGGTCGAGCACAGTGGTGCTGCAGAGAAAGATAGCTTACGATTACATCCTGTGCATGTGATGAAACCACTGAGCATCTGGTGTGTGAACATTTCTGGGTAGCATGGAGAAAAAGGTGGGGAAGTCTATCTCAGCTGGGACCGACTTTTCTGTGAGGAGGTGGAGTATCAGGTCGCAGACAGCCGGCACCAGCAGTCTGCAGCAGGTTGATAAGGTAGACGGGTGGAACACAGAGTGTCCTGTCCAGCTACACGTTCACGTCATGAAGGCACGTCGCTGCCAAAGGGGGATCCTAGCAGAGTGGAAAAACTAAAAGTAAAAACAAGAATTCTGTCAATAGAGTTTTGTTACTGTTGGCTGTTTTTCCAAACACCTCTAATACTAAATAAATCTTCAGAGCCACAACCTTTACAATCGATAGTTATTACTCTTACTGTTCTGCTAATTTTATCCATGTCACAAATTAAGGCACGTCACTGCCAAAGATTGGACCTGAGAAGAAAACCTAAATATAGGGATTTTTTCAATAAAATTTTATTAGTACTGATTAGTTTTCTCAACACGTTTAAATCCAAATAAATCTCCCCATTAAAAAGTTAAAAGTTTGTTATCTATTTGTTACTTTTCATATTTAGTTTGTATTCACTTCACTAAGGCACAAAGCTGCCAAACAGTAGGTCTTAGCTGGGAGGGAAAATAAAAATAACAAAAGCATTAGAATCAGCTATTTTCTGAACACCCCTACTTTTTTTTAACACGTTATGCAAAAGGTTACATTAGGTTTTTATCTATGAGACGGCGGAGCTGAGAGGATACAGACATTTTGTCAATAGAGTTATCTAAAATAATCTTCACAGCCAAATTGTGTTTTGTTAGTTTAATTTTAAATGCAGTTTTTATCCATGTTACTAAGGGATGATGCTGCCAGAGGGGGATCCTAGAAAAACTAAAACTTTTTAGTTTTGGTAAGCTTTCCTATACCACTAAATCTAAATAAAAACTTTCAGCCAAAATTAGTTTTGTGACTTTTCTGTTTCTGTTTTATATTCAGTATCATCACTAAGGCACACTGTCAACCAAAGGGGATCCTAGCTGAGAGGAAAACAAAAACTTAAAAACTGAAACCAAAACAAGTTACTTTTTTGTTAGTTTCATGTCTGATTGAGTTTTTAGTACTTTCAGGACAGAAAATCTTTACTGATCTTTATTTTGTTCTAAAGAACTAATTGGTGGAAAAACTGAAGTTTAGATGGATTTAACACTAACTTAGTTGTAAATAGGTCTCTGCATGCTGAATCTGGGAAATTACACCAGTCACAGCCTTCAGCTGAATTGAAAGCCAGGTTGTCAGTAACAACACAGAAAGGTCAACAGGAGGCGGGTTGTTTGAGGTTGACTACCTTATTTCCCTCTTCTGAAAGGCCACAGGCAGACTGTTAGAAAGAGGCAGAGGTTAAGCTAGAGAGGGCGGGGAAACTTGAGTGACATATATTCATTTGTATGTTATTATGAAATGCAAACGCCACCTTCTTCCTCTGCAGCTTCTCAAAGCAATGTGTCTGAGGAACTTATATATTCAAAACGGGAAATGAGATTGTTAGAGCACAGGACAGTGAGTCAGATATATAGTTAAATAACAAAATGTACAAACTCAATGTACAATCCATATATTAAATAAATGCACCAGTTGTTTATTTATATGATAATTTACTATTACTAGATCCTGCTCTGTATATGCAATAAATACCCAAAAGAATGGGAAGTATTTAGTAAAATAAGGCGTACAGTTTATGTTTCATTTGGTTGTTGTGATCCATGACATTTGTTCACCTGAAGGAAGTCTCTCCTTCTCTGTCTTTTTCTCATACTCTGTGAGTTGTGGTTCTTCGCATTGTTATCATTGCTGTCATCTCTAACAATGAAAAACAGTGTGTGTTCAAGGGATGGGGGAGGAGCAGACACAGAGAACAACACAGGAAAAGAGGGAAAGAACAGCCAGCTGTCGAGCATCAGAGAAAAGAAAAACGAGAGTGATTGAATACAAAGAGAGAATCCGATCGACTAGGCCGGCTGAACTGGACGATGTGGAAGGATTAAGTATCCTTTACAGCAAAGGCCCGAATAGAAAACATCTTAAACTGCTCATTGTAAAGAAAAAGAGTCATGGATTTTGGTTTAAAGACAGAAAAATTAAAATGTCCACAGCCTTTATAAAGCGCCCTATTTACTTTTTGCGTATTTTGGCCACATGTGTTATTTGTTAGATCATAATAATCTATCATCGCCCCTTGAATTGCATACATTCAGTTCAGCATAATAATGAACAACAAACCATATGCAGATCATATCAGTTGTATCACTCAGCCTCTCAACAGCAAGATAATGATCTCTTTAATGTGACATATTTAAGCAATTATCAGTCAATTCATTCAAACAAGGCAGGTTGGCAGAGAGTCCACAGATTTAAAAGACAGTAACAAAGGTTTGAGACCGCACCCAGGCCACATGTTGCCATGCACTGGGTTTGGGCATGTTGAGCACACATGTGAACATCTAATGAAAAACCTCCAATGACAGAGATCTGGGAATGCTGCTTCATCTGAGTCTTTATCATTGGACATAGCACTGATTGGCTCCGTCTGATTTCCACCAGGGAATATCCAAGCAGGAAGATATAATGTAATTTTTTCTGTTTTTGCAGTGTGAATGTTCAGAAGAGAATAAGAAGACAATAAGATATTTCGCTAAATCAGTGATTGTGTTTTACTTTCTGTAAAGTTGTGATTTTCTTCCAAACCTTAAAAATGTTGGCAACAAGTGCTGTCATTAGTCATTTTTAAAAAGTTAGTTTAACATTTCAAGTGAATGTTGTTCCTGTAACATCAGATTGAACTATTAGTTTCAACTAGTGTTTGGGTGGCATTGGCGCATTTTTTTAGGCTTTGAGCTGTCAAGTCCGCTGAATGAGTATTAATGTATATACAATGCTTTCAACGCTTTAATTAAATGCTTTCAGATGTCTCAATTGTGAGGAACGCTAATAACTGGAAAGGTTAAAAGCGCTGTTTTTCTTCTGTCCAGTTGCAGAAAATAAATGAACACCTTATGTTAGGAGGAAAAAAAAACCTGTGTATGCGTATTCTCACATCCTCATTTTGCAAGAGCTGTGTCAAGTTTTCAACGGTTAATGCCTCAGTTAGGATTCAAACTTTTCACACTTGATGACTTACATCATGTTATTATTAGATTGTCTTTCCTAATCAGTAGTGCCTTTCTAGTTACCTTACGTTTTGTATTTTTTATTTCCTACATACTATTACCTCTAAATGTCAGACTGTTGCTGCAGTGTTTGCAGAGTGTCTCTATATTGTATGATTATTACAGTTGTTTTGTTCATGGTTATCTACATCTACATACTATGGTTATCTACACCTTATCTACATCTTACTATCTATCTCACTTATCTAAGTGACAGCTTTAAGACCCTAAATAAGCTTATACACTGAACAACGGAGTTGACTAACAGTTTTGGTATTTAAATATTCCTCTTTGTGTTTTGTCTGTGCTCTCACTTGTTTAAAGTGGATCTGGCTGAGTAAGGAAAAGGTGATGTCACACATTTCTTTCCAACAATCAGAATTTAGCTATATTTGAATAAAAAAATGTATGACAGTTGTGGGGTTGTTTGCTTATATCAGCCTGCTTCCAGACCAGTAGTTCGTATAGATCTGGTGCTGTGCCCACTGACCACCGAGAAACAATTGACCAATCAGAGTGTGGTACGCAGGATAGTTAGCTAAAATGAGATTGACAACAAGTTAATAACATGTGAAACTAATTTTTTGGGGGATGATATTCAATATTTTAGAGAGAGAAAATAAAGCTTGAAAACAAGTTTTCAGGGGCTTTAAAGACAAGCCTGGTCATGTGTTCAGGAAATTATTCCTAGAGCATAATTCTCCTGTAGTTGTACAGTTATTATGTACTGAAAAACCTGAAAAATAGCCTACTGTGGAATGAAGACGGAGAGGGAGATACATTAACGTTAGGCTACAGTAAGAGGGAGTAGGAGCAGAAAGCTGAACAAAAAAGGTGAATAATTAATACTAAATAGGCTAAAGCACTTTTT